GATTCCACGGGCAGAGGTTGATACAGATTTGCATGCAGTTGTCATCAAGAACATGATCCATGGCCCATGTGGTACCCTCAACCGAAGTTCACCATGCATGGTAGACGGGAAGTGTTCCAAGCGATATCCTCGAGCATTTACAGCCAACACCGTAACAGGGGACGATGGATATCCTATGTATAGGAGACGGTCAACTGAAGATGGAGGGACTTCGGCAACTTTAAACATGAGAATTGGTGATATTGAGGTAGACAATCGTTGGGTGGTTCCATACTCAACACTATTGTCAAAATCATACAAAGCGCACATCAACGTAGAATATTGCAATTCCGTGAAATCGATTAAATATATCTGCAAGTACGTGAATAAAGGCAGCGATATGGCAGTTTTTGGTGTTCAGGCAGAAAATGGTGACAGCAATGCAGTACGAGTTGTCGATGAAATATCTCAATACCAGGCTGGAAGATACAAAAGCAGCAACGAGGTTGCATGGAGAATTTGTTCGTTCCCCATTCATGAACGCTATCCAGCTTTAGTTCACTTGGCAGTCCATTTGGAGAATGGTCAACGTATCTATTTCACAGAAAGAAATGTGCAAGAAAGAGTCCTGAATCCGCCAGCGACAACTGTGACTGCCTTCTTCACCTTATGCCAGGAAGATGATTTTGCCGGAACATTGATGTATTCAGAAGTGCCCTCTTAACTACAATATGCCACAGAGAAACGTGGCAGGGTACAGCTAGTAGTTTAATAATAATTGACTAATAAATATATCGATTCAAATATACACAATTTAAGCTTAGTTATGATCGATTTCCGATTCCTATAATTAGATTAGACTGCAAGAGTATATAAACTCTGTTTTCCCCAAATTAGTTTCCTTTCTTTTCTTTCAAAACCAAGTAAACAAATTCAAATAGGTTGGTTTTATACAGGTTCCACTGTATAGAAAACAATAGTGAGGAGGGGAGGACACAAGGTGGGCGGCAACACGCGCCCCGTAAAACAGTAAAAGGCAACACACATGCGCCACTGCCACGGCATTTTACGTTATAACGTCAACGTTAACACCAGTGCAATCCATGCAAATATACTAGAGGGTTCGATGAAAGAGCTCAGCTTAAATTCCGTCACGTATTGAACAGTTTTTCTGTTTAGTTTTCGTTGCTGCTTTTCCCCATATATTGTCTTGTTACTTTATATTAATTGTAAACTATGCACTTTCATCGGTGAGGGTGAAATGTAGGTGAACCTATCACTATATAGGAGTAAACCTATACTAAATTTATTTAAGGTATTTTTACAGCACATCATTTTATTACGATCTTCACCTTGTAAACACAATTATTATGGGCTTCTCTTTTGAGGCTTTTATATATGTTTTTTTGAGGTACTTAAAGATCACTTTGCTGCCAGGATTTCCCCAAAAATTCTCCCCAATGGCAAACCGAGCTTGATTTTGGGACTTTCAGCTTGTTATTTAGTTGTTTTTTTTTCTTAATTTCTTGCTGTATTTTTTTTCGCCAGAAACCTTGGGATGGGCAAAAATTTCGGCAGTTTCTCTGTATAATTATGCCCAGTCAGCGCCACATGTCTTTATTGTTTCCCGCTTTTCGTCTGTTTTCTGTTTATTTCGACTTTTGATTAATTCCGTTTATGTTGCGTTTCTCTCCGCAGCGATTTTGATTAATCGAACGATCCCGAAGAGGGTTTCTTTCGAGCGTTATCATCTTGGTTTTGTAAATACGAAGATTTGAAACCTGTATGCAAGCTCCTTGGCTGCAAAAATATTTGCATAAGCCGCCAGAACGGGTTCTATATAGAGCTTAGAAATATATATACTAGATGGGGATTTTCACTTTAACACGTTAATTTCGTTTACAAACTTAGCCGATCTTCAGGAATGCAAGATCCAACAGGTTATTGTTTTCTCTCTCGGAGGTCTAGGCCAAGTTAAGTCACGATGGCGCTAGATTACACCGATTGTTTTGAAGTTTCGCAACAATTAAAGATAGTCGTCGTCGTGCCTGGCGGATACGTTATTTATACTCGTTCTATCTAATGTCTGAAAGTTTCGCAATTTGTCTGAAACGTAGACATGTTTTGGGGAGACAAATAGTAGCCATTGACCTGCTTGGAGATATAATCTTGATGTCCACCTTCTGTGGTAATATATTTAACACATTAAACAAGCTGTCTGAGATAAGAGATGCAGCCTCTAGCAAGGCATACACTGCGTATACGCGATAATCACACAAACTTGCCGACTTTCCGACTTTGATGAGTGACGAATGTAAGTAATTCTCTTGGCCCGTTTAAAATTTCACTTTATCTGTGACGTATTTGCTCAGCGATTTGTTTACCAAATGAGTCAATGGATTGTTTTCCAATCCAATCCCCCGAATCAACTTGCACTTTTTCCGGCTCGATTTGTTCCCAGAATAAAGTAGCTGGTGGGAGCTGTTTCGGGGGCCCTCATTAGCACACAATAAAGCAGATATATATCTAGGCACCGGAGCCGATTTCTTGTTAGCATTGTTAGCGTTCTCCACAAACTCATTAAGTGTCATTGAAGCGATTTAAACAGCACTTTTGGGGGAGAAATTAACGTGTTTGTTAAATTATTAAAATTTTATCACTGTGAATATAGGGGTGAAGATCAATAAATCAATTTAAATGTAGGTGATTTATTAATTGGGTTCCTTTTTGTAATATTTAAATAAAAAAAATCTACTTCTCTATAAAAAAACCCCTTGTTTCAACTATTTTTCGTTTTACCTAATTTCCAACTAATTAATAGCAAATTATTTAAATTGAATACTGTGGTAGATGAATGATTACCAAAATAATTACTTAATTGTGCATCAACCAAAGGAAAAATGTGCAATTCTTCAATGGTTAACAAATATTATAATATCAATTAACATAATTTGTTGTTTTTGGTAATTTATTATCTGCAGCTCAAACTGAATTTTCGTCATTTTCCAATTCATTTATCATTCGTGTGTTGGGATTATACAATCCGCAATTACTTCATTACTCCGCTGCTATTTATAGTCATTTCTATATGTACAAATATATATATATCTTTCTAATTGCTCTTCACTCATTAAGCATTTTCAATTGAAAAATTGCATCCGAATTCGCTCAGGCAGACACTAAAAATTTAATAGAATGCCGACTGCACACCTAAGCGGCTCTTAAAAAAGAAAAACAAAATAAAAAGAGGAGAAAAACGTAAATAAAAGTAAACTTGACCAGTTGGGAGCTGGGAGCTTAGTTTTCGGAGCCGCCTAGGCCATTTAGAGCTAGAGACACGCGCTGGCGTGCGACGCGTTTACGATTTCAGATACATAGATACAAAGATACTCGGCCTAATGGATACGTGTGTGCGACTGGGACACAGAAAAAAATCAAGATCAGACTTGAGAGAGATTAATTTGGCAACTTTTTGGGTGCTATATTAATTATATGACATTTAAAATTAAGAGATATGATGGTATATATTTTATTTTGATTGTTAGAGATTTTTCTACAGCTTTTATTTGTGTAAAAAATTTTAATTGTTACCAAAATAAATTTTGAATAGGGCTTTATTATTATTCATTTTATGTGCTGTATATATTAAAAAAGATATTAAAACACTATTTCAAACTCAGGCCAATATAAATTAGCTCTTACACTTAAAAGTTTGGAGAAATATTTAGTTGTATCTTCTATAAAAATGTCTAAATATTAAAAACAAATCTATAATATATATTTTTTAAGTAAGCTCAAAGATCAAGATATTTTTTTATCGTGTCGGATGCTGCTCAGCTCGGATCATATGAGCTTGAAATTTTTATTGAGTATCTGCCAAAAGTGTTTCTATTTTTAGTGAATTTGTGTAGTTTGTTCTCTTCGATGCCACTCCATATATCGGATATTGTTACACTTAGCACACTTGGATTTAAAAACATTTATTTGTTGATTGCAAACACGAAAAACAGCAACAGAAATGCGTCTGTTTTTGTGTACAATTTTTTTTTTTTTTTGTTCAAACTTCAATGGGGGTTCCGCACGATCAACTGGCGAGTGCTCAGCCCCAGCTCAGCCTCAGTTTTCAGTCTTTTTGTTATTCGGTTTCCAACTGACTCTGGGCTCCACGTACCGACAGCGCGACGACGGGTTTACCGCTGGACACTTGAAGCTCGACTGCGACTCCGACTACGGATGGGGCTGCGGACCGCCGGGCAACCAGACCGCTCGACGAACTCAACCAAACTGCGCTCCAGAGTTGGCCACGAGCGGCTCTTAACTCACTTTTTTACCAGTTGGCAACAGGTAGACGACGACGAGATGAGGCGACAGCAAGCGATCGGTGTATTTGTATAGGTGGGCTTCAGGGGCGGAGAGTAGAGTTTAGGAGGGGGTTTTAAATTTAGTTAAATATATAACAAAATTTTATTTCTTTTAGTTTTTTTCCCCCTTTTTATTAAAGAAGTCTTGAAGTATTTAACATTAAAGAATAAGTTAATGATTGTTTTAAGCTCCCCCTTTTACTGAGCCCTTGTAAGCTACAGAGAGTCTGTAGCCTCTCTTTGGCTTTCTTCTCTCTCTTTCAGCTACATATATAGGAGAATTAGTTTCGATGGGGTTAATCAGCTGATTCGGTTTGGGCTTTAAGCCAGAGATCAGGCAAGAGTAAGAGAGAGGTTTATACAAAATTAAGAGAAAGAAAAATAATAATAAAAATAATTATATGAAAGGGTTAATATATGCACTACAAAATGTTAAAGTTAAACAATTAATGATATTTTACACACTAATTAAATTAATTCATACAATTTAATGCTTCAGTTCCATGAAGTTAGCTAATTCTAACCATCTGGCACCATATCTAAAGCCTCAAATACCAAAACCAAAGCATAATTTTAGGCTTTTTATCCAAGAAAATCCGGAATAATTTTAAAAATTAAAAATATTTTAATAATTTAACTAAAAACTATCATTTACACAACTTAAAACTAAAAACCTAAGAGGACTTGGGGTTCACAGACTTCTCAGGACGTCTTGTCTTGTAGCGAAGACCATGCTCCATATAGGTAAAAGGAGGATTCGGTTGGGTCAAACAAAAGTATAGACCCTTGGCTGTAGATGGATATATAAGACCGATATTGATGGTGTTCTGGTAATTACAGTCGCCCTGCCGGAACTTGGCCCAACTATCGCATTTGGTGGCCGGGATCATTACGCCCTCAATTAGAGCCTAGGATTAAATCAAGAAATATTATAAAAAATTCCTCAATAAATAAAAGAAAACGTACCTCCATGAAGAGCACAAAGGGATACATGTGACTGCAGACCTTGGACTCACACCCGGGCTGAAGTTTCCTCCTTGGGAAGTACCCTATCCCATTGGGATAAATGTCAATGTGACCCAGAGGCACCCTCACACCAAACACATCGCCCTCGCCGTGGATGGTCACCACCCTTGAGGCTACTCCCTGCTTCACCAGAATGTCGGTGGTGCGACACATTGTGGCCGGATCTATGGCTATCAGTTGTCCCACCAACTGTTTGGTTTCCTTGGCAAAAAGTTTTGCTCCCAAAGCGGCAATATTCGCACCCACCGAATGTCCTGCCAGGGTAATGTCCTGCGCCGCTATACCTGCATCCTTAAGAGCTCTGATGAGCTTATAAACAAAGTAACCATCCACGGAGAGATGATGCCGTACTGCATAGTACAGCTGGGCCACATCCTTGGCAAAGTCCACCACAATCACATTGAGATCCCTGCGGCTATTCTGGAGCAGGGTCAAGTGCTCCTGGACACTGAAGTAGCTATCGGCGGTGTGGAAGGCATTCACGTAGACAAGGGTCTTCCGTTCCGGACTGATGTCGAAGTCCTTTAGCTGGGATATGGACTTGATGGGCAGCTCCACGCTTTGGTTGGTAATAGTCATCACATGAAGGCGGGCATCGCTGGGATTGATGCCCTGGAAGAGAGACATGACACCCTCGTCCACGGGGGCATCACCTGGTGAAATTGGGAATGATTAGATACTTTTATACATTTGTTATATGATTTCCAACTTACAGAAAGCCCGCCAGCCGCGATTAAGTTGTTCAGTCAGTAGCTTCAAGTTCTGCTTTTGGACTCCATCTATGCTCAAAGATTTTGTTGATTTGTCCTCCGCTGAGGCTGATGAAGCTCCCCAAGATGGACAGATCAGGCAGACTGCCAACAGAATAAACCGAACTGTGCTCTTCTGCATGGCGACCTAAGCTATCTCGTATTGAAAAGCCAAGAGCTGAGCTCTTATATAGTCTGGTTTTATCACTCGACCCGAGACTCTCTTATCTTTTCGATTTCAGTCGCTTTTTTGCGCTTCTTGCAGCACGTCTGTCTGCAAATACACCCCGTCTGGCCGTTGTCTGCTATTCCGGCCCGAAAAAAATCTATCTTCAGCCCCAAAAGAGCGGCTAGATAGTGGCGCATATCTGGCCAGACTGGCTGCTATAGATACTCGATCTTTAACCGATCGTGCCTCAATATGGAAATACTTGCCAGCTTCATTCAGCTTTTTTCCGTCAATTAATCGCAGTTTCTTTTATTTAAGGTGATCTGTGCTCGAAAGACAACTAGGTGCTAAATATTTATTCATTAAAATGTAAATTTCCACTAAATGAATATTTCGTTTAGTTATTTAAGTTAGGGTACTGTAAATTTGACTAGAACTCGTATCGGTTCACGATGCAATATTTACGCTAATGAGGTAGCGGCGGTTGTTGTCTGACTCTGATCATTTTCCCAAGGGAATTTCTCGAGAGTGGCCTTAAAATTACGTTCCTTAAGTGGTAGAGATTGTGCTTAAGAGAAAGTCAACCAAATAATAATAAAAAACAATCAAGAAACTCAAAAGGAACGAAAAAAAACCACCAAAGAAGAACATCTTTTCGAGTTAAACTTAAATTTTAAACAGTTTATTTTTGTGCGAATATACACAAAAGCTAATCCATTAAAATCATAAATAAATTGAGAGATGTGTACTAAAAATAAACATTGGTAGTCAGAAATACTTGATGAGGCATCTCTTCAGAGCTCCAAAATTATACTAAAATTTGCATTCTGCTCTGCGGTTTGTGTTGTGTTATGTTTTCCCTTTTCTTCCCGAAATGTGAATGGTGTTTGATTTCTCTTAAAACTTGAGTCCGGCCTGGACATCGGCCATGATGTTGGCCGACTTCTGCAGCTGCTCGACCTCGGTGGCAGTGAGGATCTGCTTCACCACGGAGGTGACGCCGTTGGCATTCAGGACGCAGGGCAGCGAAAGGAACACATCCTTGTCAATGCCGTGCTCACCCTGAAACATAACAAATTTAAATTAAAATTATAATTCAAAATATTTGTAATTTATAAAACAAACTTACCAAAACGGAGGTAGAGACAGCGGCCACGCTGCTTGTGTTGCGCAAGATGGCCGAGGCCAGGGAGGCAGTGCTCAGGCCGATGGCCCAGGAAGTGTAACCCTTTAGCTTGATCACCTCGTAGGCAGAGTCAACCACCTGCTTGTGGAGCTCGTTCCACTTCTCTGGATCCTCACCGGTGCCCAGGGTGGGGTTCAGCTCACGCAGGCGCACGCCGGCAATGTTCACGCCGGACCACACGGGCACAGAGCTGTCTCCGTGCTCGCCGATGATCCAGCCGTGGCAAGAGGTGGGAGCCACGCCCAGGCGCTGGGACATGAGGAAACGGAAGCGGGAAGAGTCCAGGTTGGTGCCGCTGCCAATGACACGGTTCTTGGGCAGACCGGACAGCTTCCAGGCCACGTAGGTCATGATGTCCACGGGGTTGGAGACCATCAGCAGGATGGTATCGGGACTGTACTGTAGGGGGAATAGGAATTAGTACTAGTTTCTCATTTAAAGAGGTCACTAAACCCACCTCCACCAGCTTGGGGATAATGTTCTTAAGGATATCGGTGTTGCGCTGCACCAGGGACAGGCGGGATTCGCCCTCCTTCTGGCGCACTCCAGCGGTCACAATGCACAGCCTCGAGTTGGCCGAGGCGGCAAAGTCAGTGCTGGCCGTGATCTGGGGATTCTTCAGGAAGTTGGAGCCATGCTGCAGATCCATCAGCTCGCCCTGCAGCTTGTCGGCGCAGACATCGATGAGGCACACCTCCTTGGAGACATTCTGGGCCAGAATGCTGAAGGCGCTGGCCATGCCCACCTGGCCGATGCCCACCACGGTGACCTTGTGCCCGGAGCTGGGCAGAACCTCGGCAACTTGGGCCAACAGACTGTCCTTAATGGCGGCCATTGCTGGGGGGAAAGATAAGGAAATAATTGTTAAGTATTTTGTTAAAGAACTTAACTTCAGTATTTGCTAATGGATACATTTCCTTTCTATATTCCTAGGAGATTTATTTTACAAATATTCTCTAAAGTATTTGTTAATAAATTATAGTTTTTAACATTTTCTTTATAATATTTTTCAAAGTTGATTAGTTTTTAGAACTTTTTAGTACTTTCTGTACAAATTCCTATTTATTTTGTAAAAATCGCTCTTTATCTCACACATATTTTAAGATAATAAAATAAATAATCTGAATAGGTTAGTAGCTTGTGTGTTAGAAACTCGTAAGGATGGCTTCTCTATTCATTACCACCACGTGCCTCTCACATTAAGCGGCTAATTTTATTAACCAAAACATCTAAATTATTTCTTTATTTAATTTGAGGAATAGAGTTTTCTCTTCCCCCTAAAACACACACAGACATACAGTTTAGTTGGCGTTCTTTAACCTTCACGAAGGTCGTATTAATGAGGAAGAAGCGACATCGCCACAACACGCAACCAGACCGAACCGAAAACATTGCCGAAAAAATTAACTAATACTGATTTTTGTAATTTTGTATAGCAAAATTCACAGAGCCAACTTTGTGACATTCATGACACTCGTGTTCAATTAGGGACTTCTTTCATTATCTTTTTCGATAAATAAAGGGAATGGAGCTTATCAATTCGAAACCTTTTGAATATAATCCCCTCGAAAATCGCTTTATTACTGATTCCAGGGACTACTTCCTACGCAATCTTATCAGAGGAACCATTAAGGCAATTTCACAAATCCAATTACTGGTTGTTTCTCATGATGAGGAATTTGATTATTTACCGATGACTGTTTTATGCTTTCAGTTTATATATATATCATCATGACGTAGAGAGTTAAGCGTTATCTGCAGTAGGAAGAGTTGTGGTTCGGGCCAAAGTTGAGTTTGTTGCCAATGTTTGCAATATAAGAGTTAAGATTAGATTGCCGGTGATTAAAAGTGCATATTGAAGCGGCGACTACTATCAGTGGGGGAAAATATTTATATAAACATGTGGCACGTTTTTAATTAGAATCTGCTTCAGTCTGAGTGTGTTTTCCTAGCTTGAGTTACGACTGCACTTGTGAGTTCCAAAGAATATTATGGGTGCGGTACAAAAAAATAATAGAGAACTTTTTCGATGAGTTTCGCGGTGTCAGATAAATGTCACGAAGATATAAACAATAAATAATGATTTATGACTAAGCGAGCGAGCAGTTTATTTTTTACTGGGAACACACATATAGAGGTATTGAAAATAAATAAAATAAAATACTATATATTTAGAATATGTTGCAAAATAAGCAAGGTAAATAATAATTAATTAAACCTCAAAGCAATATGACAATTTGAAATTTGTAAGAGAAATATCTATTAGAGGTAAAATTTATTATCTTTAATAACATATTACAAATGTTAAGCCCCGGAATACCCATTTACTAATCTATTTAATTTGGAAGTCCACTAAACTTTGCTTTAATTATTCATTTTTCTGTTTTATATAATTGAATGGAAACTCATTTAATTTTTGAAAACATTTACCATGTTTTTCAATTAAAACTACTATTTGAAATATTTCACTTAGTTAATTAACTCTTGCAATTTCATGACCAGCTGCACCCTTATTAATATCCAAATTCCTCACATTAATATCAATATTTTTCACCTGTTGCAAGCTGCTAAAACTTGCCACATCAAATTGGGGATATTCGAATGACCTTCTCTCAAAGTCAAATGCGGTTGTTCCACTTTACTTTGGGGGCTGACGACGTCACCCCCGTCAAAAAACAATCCGAAAAAGCAGACACAAACAGCTGTTTGGCGTTGTTGGTCATGGCGCATGCTCTCAATGAAAGCGAAAGTGAAAGTACGCCCAATTGGCAGCCCCTCCCTCTTCCTAGGGTACACCCCAATTACGGTACCAGTGCGGAAGGCCAAGGGCGGCGAGGTGTTGGTTTCGGTTTCGAATTCGAAATGGGAATTCGTTCTTCGGACTTGCACTTGACCGTGTTGAGAGTTGAATGCACTTTGATGAGGCAGGAAGTGAGCCTGGCTCAGGGGATATTAAATACCCTTTGAAAACTTAGAACTACCGTTTATTCACTAACAAATTATTTCTCTTTAGATTCTGCTTACTTTTTGGTATTTGGTTGGCTTTGTTTAAATTCACTTTTATTCACTGGATTTTATTTTTGGCGCCTCTGTATGTTGAGGTCGTCGACGTTCCGTTCCGTTTGCGGGTTCGTTGGGAAATGTTTGCACTCTACGCGGCTGCTTTGGAATTTAGCTGCTGCCGCCGCTGGATTTTGTAGCCTCCGCAGCCGCTCTTTCACTCATTACCTCTCTTTCTATTTCCTCCTCAGCCCAGTGCACTGAAAGAAATAAGGAAACAAAAAATCCTGCAAGTATTGTAGGATATAAGGTGAAATTTTATTCCTGAGAATTAAAAAGTTCCTGCATTAGGCATTTTATTTATTTTCTTTGAATTTAATTACAAAAGTTAGTTAATTTAGTTAGGGTTACGAATGCATACACTTCAGTATTTTATTAATTTCCTCACAATTATCTATGCATTAAGGCTCCTTTAGGATAATACGTATCTTGAAAGGTTTTATAATTCCAAAGTTGAACAATATATGATTTTTAAAGAATGAGATTGTTCTGGGATCTAAAAAATATCAAATTTATTTTAATTAATGGATAAGCCACGTCGAAAACCCTTTCCAAGATTTCGTTTTATAAAGAATCTTGTGTTGAACTAGTTTTGTAAAGTATTTTTGCAATTTAAAATATACTTTGATTGCTTGCATATATAATTAAAATATTTTACTTCAAATACCAAGTATTTGGCTGAGTGTAGGCAGCTGTTTCCGCTGCCTCAGCCGGCGTCGCAGCTGCTGCGCCAGGATGAATGACGAAACAGCCTGGGAGGCATTGTGAAAGTGAGCGAGAGCGTTGCTCTCTCTCGCTCGCGCTCTTTGCTCTCCAGAGTTTTCGGCTCCATTCAGCCAAGTTAGTCAAGGTGACCTTTTGCTTCTGCTGGTTTTCTTTTTTTCTTTTGTACGTTTTCCGCCTATATTTATAGCCGGCACGTTTTCGGGTTATTCGATTTGATTTTCCGAGAGTCTGGAGCTGGAGCGTGAAGCTTGTCACCGAGCTTTCAGCTGGCCTGTAATTCCCCATTTACAATTCCCTGTGGCTTAAATTACTTTCATCTGTAATTCCGAATTTGTATCTATTTTCCGCTATGCTGGCGGCTGGTGGTTGTTTATCCAAGCCCCGTGACAGCAGCTGGGGATCTCTTTCGGGGCGAGGGGAAGGCACGTGCCCAAGATCACGCACATAAAACATATAGATACATATAGTGTATATATTGTATCTTTTGGGATGTGGAGGGAGATGAATGACTGGTATAGGGGCTAATTTTGGCCAATTGCCCAGTCAGGCGGCTGCAACGGAGGCTGCAGGCCAACAGATGGCCAGGTTATGCCTCATAGACACTGGTAATACCCTACACTTAGTTGCTAGGGGATTTATATAAGCTGTAACACTATAAAAATAATAATAATAATGATATGATATTGAAATTGAACGTAAAAATAAAATCATAATAAAATATTGAACATATCTATTTATTTGTGGTAATAAATTCCTTTTAGATAATATAATAATATAATATTTTTATGTCATTTTTGTACTTAAATTGTTTATAATATTCAAAACTTTATTAACATTTTCCCCAGTGCATTTTAATTTCACACTTGGTGACCTGGATTAAAGCAGATTTTTTTTAAGCTAATAAGCAAAACATGTCCCCGCTTGCACTGCGAGAAGTAAGAGAAAAGGTGGGAGATCGAGAGAAAGAGTGAGAGACAGAAAGAGGATCCCCACAGAAAAAGGAGAGGCAACTGGAAGCTCCCCAGAGAGAGATAGAGAGAGCGGGAGCTCGCTCCACCGCTCTGCCGGCGTTCGTGACTAAAAACACACACATTTCGTACCGACGAATGTGATTCACTGCATTCTGTCTGCTGTCGGCGATGATGATTCCCTCACTCTCTTGATTTTCGCAACTTGGCAGAGCAGCTACGTCATTATTTTAGCCGGCTGAACTTGAGCTTAATGTGGGTTAGGAGAGGGGACAGAGGGGTGCTTCTCGTTCTCTCTGTCTCAATGTCACTGCAATTTAACGCGTTCGTTGTGAAAGTGACGACGGTGACCCAGTTTCCGAAATGACCCCCCATCAATGTCAATGCACTACTACCCCCCGCCCCCTCTCTGGTGGTATTTCGGTCATGACGCTGCTTCACCCTTCAATTGTGAAATAATTCCAAGTGTGAGTGCGAGTAATACTCGAATGCAGTTTTTAGAAACTCGTTTTGTTTAGCTTTGGGTTTGTTGAACTTTTGTTTCTACGCGCTTTGTTATGATTACTCGATTTTTTTCTGGTTATTTCGAGGGAAGAAGAGAGGCTTACTTACGGGGTTTCTATAGGATGAGCTGATGACTGGAAATTTAATAAATAAGATTGAAAGATAACTTGAACTTTTATACACGCTTTCAATTGATAATTGGATATTGATAATCCATTTATTTTTGTCAAATGAAAAACAAATACAACGTTTAAATTCAGTATGCAGATGTATATGTTTAGTAAAAACTAAAATAAGACTGCTTTATGAATTGAAATAATTGTTTTTTTTTGATTAGTTATAAAGTTTTTTTAACTTGATTTATCTAAAAAGTTTTCCATAAATATCGATTTAAAGATTCGATCGTTTAATTTGCAATGCAAACTGCACATTTCCTTTCTTGCTAGAACAAAAATTAATTTATTAAAGAAAGCTAAATAAATAAAAAAAAAACATATATATTATTATATTATATATTATTATTTAATATTATTATTTATATATTATTATTATTATTATTATTATATTATTTAGTATTACAAAACAGTACAAAAAGTCTGTTATTTACTTCTTTGAGTGGCGCCACACCTACGGTTACGGACAGTACAGCAGTCAGTGCAGTTTCAAGAAACCAGACCCAGATGTCGCCAGTAATTTGTGTAAAATGGAGTGTCAATTCTAAGTTCAAATAAAACCGCGTTGAATATTTCTAGGAGGATTAAATTCATTTTTAGACTATATATTCTCGATCTCGATAAGCAGGGGAATTTTTAAACAAATCAGAAATAATATCGACTAGTTTTAGGTAGAGATAGAGTCCTCGTCAGACACTGCCTAGTAAAGGAAGGGCCTGGTATAGATGTACCAAATATCTGTCGTCTTTAAGATATTTTTTGTTTGTTTTTTATTCGATTATAAATATTAATTTTTGTAAAATTATCAAACTACAAAGTCCCAGAGTGAAGAAAATGCCTTGGAAAAATCTCAATTTCAGCATTAGCATCTCGCAATGCTCGAAATTCTGACAGCCTTCGAATGCCAGCTTCCCATATTACGCAACATTTTCGATGCATTCCCAAGATAAACCAGAGCAAACATTTCTCATGCTCCTCCGCTGTGCCAATCTCTGGAGCTCTGGAGCAGCTCTGCGTGCCAGGAGAGAGAGAGATGCCCCGGGAATCGGATAGCACCTTCTCCTGGCCAAAGTCCGACTCGAGGCGTCGTTATCGAGGCAGGGGAATCTGATTAGAGCGGAGCTGGGACCTGGTGTAAGCCAAGTGGCAGGAACCAACCGATCCTCGCCAGCGGAGCACACGCAATCGAGCGGAGATGTCGCTGCCCCGCGCTCTGCACATTAATATTCAAAAATTGCGTTTTTATGCTAATTCTCACAAGCACACACACTCGGAGCACTCTGCAGTGGCTAAATGGCCAACCTGTCGATAGATTACTCAATGACAAGCACCAGGCGGCAGCAGGATGCACACTCTCCGAAAAGGAGATCTCGGCCAGGCACTGGCAGAAGTTCAAATCGAAACCTTATGCCTAAAAAACATTTATTTTTATACCTCTGCAGGGTCAGTCAGAAGCTTGAATCGCAGTGAAGGAGTCATTTCCGACCCTATAAAGCATATATATTCTTGATCAGCATAAACACGGGAATCTTTCTAGGCATGTAGGTAAGAAAATAAAATTTGTGAAATTTTTTCGGACTTTTTATGTGACATTTTTAACCTTGTTGACATTTTGAAAAATTAACAAAATTTCAAACATTTTAAAAATTTAATTTAGGTATGCAGATTTATTAACCTATTAAAAACTAGTACAAAACAGCTTTCCGAATAGAAATTATTGTTTTTTTGGCTTAGGTGTGAGTATTTTTAGCTGTGGGTTAAAGAAATAGAACATAAACCCAAAGAATTCAAATATTTATACCCTGCAGGGTATTCTACTTTCAGTCAGAAGCTTGAAACGCAGTGAAGGAGTCATTTCCGACCCTATAAATCATATATATTCTTGATCAGCATCAACAGGCGAATCTTTCTAGGCATGCCGGAAAGAAAATAAAATTTTTAAAATTTCATCGAACTTTTTATGGGATTTTTTAACCTTGTTGACATTTTGAAAAATGAATAAAATTTCAAACATTTTTAAAATTTAATTTAGGTATGCAGATTTATTAAACTTTTCAAAACTAGCACAGAACAGCTTCCCGAATTGAAATTAATCCATTTTTGGGTTAGTTATGAGGTTTTTAATCTTCGGGTTATAGAAAAATCGTCATATAAAGATCGAGCTATATTTATACCTTTGCAGGGTATTATACTTTCAGTCAGAAGCTTGAAACGCAGTGAAGGAGTCATTTCCGACCCTATAAATCATATATATTCTTGATCAGCATCAACAGGCGAATCTTTCTAGGCATGCCGGAAAGAAAATAAAATTTAGAAATTTTTTCGGATTTTTAAAGGGACTTTTTGACCTTGTTGACAATTAAAAAAATTGACAAAAATTTAAACATATTAAAAACTTAATTTAGGTATGCAAATTTATTAACCTATAAAAAAATAGTACGGCACAGCTTTCCGAATAGAAATTAATGCATTTTTAGCTGAGTTATGATATTTAAATATCTTTGATTTACCCCACAAATTTGCATACATAAATATCGATTAAAGTCTCTATATACAATTTCATTTATACAATTTCCGTATATAAAACTCTATGGTATATTTGATATAATATTCCACTCAAAATCTTAAATTCACTCCTTAATGTCATTAACTTTCTCTCTCTGCATTTGAATTGGTCCAAGTAGCCAGAAACTGCTTTATTTTATTTTCTTACCGCCGCTGCTGGCTCTTCTCTCTGATGATGATCATCTTTCGGGTATATCGCACCTTGCCATCTTTTTGGCAGCCAAAGCAGCCTTATTATTACTTT